AGGAAGTCTTCTTTCAATTTTTATTGATTTAGCATGGGGAACACTTTTTTTTCCCCTTGAAGTGTTATCAGGGGTGTGTTTTTGCTCTCTTTTTTATGTTGGTGATAGATTTGTGTTGTATTATTTTATTTGAATTTGTAAATTCAATGCTTTTGTGTATTTGAAAATTCTAGATCATTTTTTATCTTGTTTTGTAAGATACTTAAATAGTCACATTTGGATTTTGGAAATTTTGATAATGTAATTGAAAGTTGTTTTTTTAAGGCGAATTTTACATCAGAAAATGTTACGCTTTTTTATTGGGAAAATCCATTTATAAAATTATTGTTCAAAAAATACTTATTACTATGTCATTATAATTGATGTCATGATTTATGTAAGCACACGTCAATCAATAAGTAATGATCAAAGTGATATTCTCCGAGTTACAATAGGTTACAAGAGGATAAAATAAGGTATGTTAAATTGTATTTAATGTCATTTCAAGTATATGGTTAAATGGAGATACATGATCAAGTACAATTCTTGGAATAGTGGATTAAGCCTAACTCAACCCTACAAAAATGACTTGTAAAGTGAGGCTTGTTTTCCACTTATATACTATTTAATTGTCTAATCTCTAGTCGATGTGGGACTTGGATTTTTCCCAATACACCCCCTCACTACTAACACTATTGGGCTTGGTACGTAGATAAATGGTAGGTAAAGCTTTTTTAATGATCTAGGATTGGCGGGACTTGAGTTTTTCTCAATACACCCCCTCATGTCCATGATGCATGTATTAATGGTGGGTGATCTATTTAAAGTGGATTTCTGATACCATCTTAGAATAGTGGATTAAGCCTAACTCAACCCTACAAAACAAGCTTGTAAAGTGAAGGTTGCTTTCCACTTATATACTATTTAATTGTCTAATATAATATCTAGTCGATGTGGGACTTGAATTTTTCCCAATAACAATAGATTGATACTAAAATTTCCAAAATGACTTCTTTCTAACACTAAAGTAATTTAAATAATTTGTAGGTTGTCGATGTCACTAACTAATGGATCTTAAGGACTATGACAAGACTATAAAAAAATATGAAGTAATCTTACTAGTGGGACTAGGAATTGGTGCCATCAATTTGATTGGCATACTCAGACATGACAAACAATATTAAGTAGCATAAGACTTCAAAAGAGAGGTAGAAAACAAGGCTAAAGACAGCAAGATAAAACATCTTGAAAGCGAGAACATCTTTGAAAGCTTTGATTAGTTTTATTTACATTTTGTTAAATAAAATTTACTTGTTTTTGTTATGGACAAATCCATAGTATAGATGTTTAAACTACCTGTTGTGGTGTATTTGTTTTATGTAGTTATACTTTTTGTACGAATGAATTATGCATAAATTTCAAATTTTGTTTACTGAAATTTTAATTTATATTATATTGAATTAATTTTAATTTTGAAAAGATAGAATAATAAAGCAATCTATATAAAAAAAAAAAAGTAAAATATCGAAGATGATTAAATCTCAATGTAGTTAGAGAATGAAATTAGGAATCAAAATGAAAATTAGTATCACACAATTATTATTATTTTATAAAATAATAAAAATATTAGTAATAGAAAATAATTTCTATTTATGACAAAAAAGTTTGACACAAATAGTAAGTCATTGTTATTATAGACTCTTAATAGTGACAATTAAATCATCACTATTATCTTGTATAATTGTGGCAACTTGATTTTGTCACTATCATATATAAATATTAGTGACGATATTTTCATCATTATAAATACAATTTTTTGTGACATTTACAAAATCGTCACTAATTTATTAGTGACTCATATATCAGTGACGATTGGTGACAAATTAAAATTTCGTCATAAATTACCTTTAGTGATGAATTTTTAACCTTTTAATGACGAATGTTGTCATCACAAAAAATAGTTTTTCTTGTAGTAAAGAGTGTTGGTTAGGAATCCAATCCGTGTTAATGAAGATTGTGAAGAGAAGTACTGAGTTTTTCTCCTCGAAAAAGTCCCCATTTTCCCCTTGTGGTGGTTTCATTTATATTGCTTTCATGTGATCATTACAATTTGTCATCTTGCATGATTTTTTGCAGTGGTGGTGGGCTCAACAATGTGATCAGTCACATCTTAATTAAGTTTGGCAAGCGTTTGAAGGCTGGCCTATGAAGATTTTCATAGCAAGGCGGCGTGTAGAGGCTTCGAGATATGCATGTCGTACGCAAATAAATGGATGTTTCTATTTCGATTTTAATTATAAGTAGATATTCTTTTCTTATTTATTTTGTAAAAAAAACATTTAATTATCTTATTATCATGATTAGGAGTTGCATGAGATACCAACTTGTGCTTCCTTTTAAATTGTGCCATACAATATTAATTTATTTTGGTTTTATCAAGATAATTTTGTACAATAATGGTTAATATTTGGCACAATTTTTACCCCTCTAAAGAGAGTAGAGTCTAAGCCTTTCACTTTAATTTGAATGTTGAATAAGAAAGACAAAAATGTATTAACATGTGATTAATTTATAAAGAAAGGAAAGGAAAAGGAAAAAGGAAAAGAAAAGGGGACAAAATTGGGTGTTTATAGATGGGAAGGTAATAGCCTATGCATCTAGACAACTAAAGACTCTTGAACAAAATTATCCTACCCATGACTTAGAATTAGCGGCTGTAGTCTTTGTACTTAAGATGTGGAGACATTACCTTTATGGTTCTAGATTTGAAGTGTTTAGTGATTATAAGACCCTTAAGTACTTATTTGACCAGAAGGAGCTTAATATGAGGCAAAGGAGATTGTTAGAATTCCTTAAGGATTATGATTTCAACCTTAGTTACTGTCGCAACCCGAAAATTTTTGATCTCGCGACTAATGGTTTAGACATCCTTTTAAAAATCTCATTAATTAAGGAATGTTCCGACACCAGACTAATCTTTACTTAATGATTTTGAAAAATGAGTTCATGGAGTCGCCACCAATTAATGTTTTACTCAAAACATTGGAAAAAGAAAAAGTTTTTAAAAATCTAATAATGGTGATAACCAAAATTGGGTTCGAGGGTCGATTACGTATAGGGAAGGTATTAAGCACCCCTACAACGCCCTCAATTGGTACCCTATGATGAAGTTAATGTGATAAGAATTAATAAATTAAATATTAGATCCCCTTTATTAATATTTATTAATAAATTAAATATTAGATCCCCTAAACCCTAAACCCTAATCATCAAAGATGATAGGTGAATGGTATTCCTACTCAAGGCATCTACTACAACATTAGCTTTACCTGGGTGGTAACTATAGACACCCAATTTCCTCCACATGCCCAAAAGCAATAAAATAGATGTCTATTATCAAAGAAAGGAGCTTCCGAAGAATGGAAACAACAGGACATGACATCAGAAAGCATAAAGCCCAAATAAGCTAGTTTTAGTAGCCCCAGTTACAAAAAGGGGACCTAAAACCCTAGTTTATTGGAACAGGCCGTTCCACATTACAAAAAGGCCTAAAAAACCTTAGTTTGGAACAGGTCATTCCAGCATAGGCAGCTATGTGTTAAACTCACCTTTGGAACGAGTCGTTCTGGTTTCAGAATGGGCCGTTCCAAGATATGAAATTAACACATAACGTACAGATCTAGAATGGGCCGTTTCGAATCTGGAACGGACTGTTTTGGCAACTTTTTGATGTCTATAAATAGCAGACTCGAGCATAGTTCTCAAGGCCACAAAATTTCGTCCAAGACTCCTTAGAGCTCGAAATTTCTCTCTCGCTCTCCCTCCTATTGTATTTCGTGAGTTTTGTGAGGCTTATTGTAGTGTGAAAGGCTGTCACAAACCACCTAAAAATCTCCGTATTTGAAGATACAATAGAGCTCGCACAAGAGGTATTTCAGTCAATCTTCTTCTCTCCCTTTTATTTCTTATCTTTGATAAACATTGTTATAATAAAAGTAATCATGTAGATATTTTAGAGTCAATTGTGTAATTTAAATTTATAACCTAGGCATGCATGTAACCAATAATGTATGGAAAAAATTCAAAATTATGATATATTAAAAATATTTACTCTTCTCAAAATGAAAACTAATTATTTTTGAAGAGGGAGTCTAATTAAAATTATTAATTATAACAACTTATATTCCCCACTTAACGTATTTAAAAAAATGTTTATTGAGATGATAAAAATGTTTGGTAAAATGTGTAATAAAGATTTGGATAGCTAAATAGACAGTTGTGGGTGATTTAAATGTTTTTTCCTCTACCATTTTTCAATCGGGCACAGGTGGGTATCAAGGTATTTGTGTATGTAAATATCTATTAATATGAAATTCATGAAGAAAAATGTTGTATTCTCTAATATCTCCACATCGAAAAATCTTCCGACTAAAGTTTAATATAATTGATTTAATATAAAAAATAATTTAATTGATATTTATTGTTTTTTAATATTTAGAGGATAATTCGACATCTACGAATCAGAGACCGTAACATTTTTTGTTAATTAAATACTTACACAAGTATAAAGAAGTTGTACTATTTTTTTTTTATAATATTTATAGACTTGTACAAGATTGAAATATTTTATATTATTGATTTTTGCTTTGACTTAATGGATTAAAGTATTTTAGGCTTCAATACTGGAATATTGGCTAATTAAATAAAATCTAATTGTTTTTGAAGGAAAAAGTACATAATATCGAATTTATAATTATTTTTATAAACACGGTTACCGACATGACATTTAGATATTAGGTTCATTTGTTTAAATTTTTTTAATAAAATAAATAAATAAATATATATATATATATATATATAATACATAATAAAAAAATACAATAATAAAAAGAAATTACATAATAAAATGAATTACAAAAAATTACAACAAAATTAAATATAAAAACTAAGAAATTACATAATACTATAAATGCACGATAAATTGTTTGTAACGATAAATTATTTATAACAATAAATACGCACTAATTTTCGTTATTATGATGTCCAAAACGTCCCCAAATATGTTCTACCAAGTCGTGTTGTAGTTGTCGGTGTTGCTGTCTATCATGAAGATGTGCCCTCCTTTGTAAGTATGTTGTAGTAAAAATAGGATGAGGACCAATAGATACATCGGAAGTCAAGACTTCGTTACTACTATTATCATAATCAAAATTAATATTGTATGTGTGTCTCTCATCTTCAACTATCATGTTATGTAGTATGATACATGCATGTAGGGGTGAGCATTAAACCGACACCCGAACCGAACCCGAAAAACCCGAAAAAAAATATTGCTTTTGGGTGGGTTCGGGCGGGTCTTATGGGTAAATCGGGTTAAAATTTTGATTTTATACGGGTTATATTGGGCGGGTTTGGTTTTGAATTTTTAAACCCGCTAAAAACCGAACCCAACCGAAAATGAGATAAGTTTAAATTTTTATTACTTTTGTATAACTAAACAACAATGGTCCAAATTTAAAAGTCTTTATTTCAAGTATAATATAGCCATCAATTTGTAACTTATTTTTTTCCTTTTTCTCATAACTTAGATATTTATTTTGTCTTCTCCTTCCTCATTCAACTTCTCAACACACTAGTCCATTTTTAGAGTTATCTTTTTGCTTCTTTCTTTGTCTTTCTTTTCCATCTTCTTATCTCCATTTTGAGTACATTTTGTGTGACTGTGATTTCTTATGGTTTTGTAATCTAACTTTATATTTCTTTTCCATGTAACAACTATGAATTTTGTTATCTTTTATTTTTGCTTCTTTAGTTTGTAAATGTTTCAACTACGAATCTATTTACACATAAAACTCAAAAAGTTATCATAAATAATAGTTTGGGATTAGGTGACAGGAAAAAATTAATTTACACTATTAATGCATTACCTATTCTTTCTCTCTGCCCTCTTTCTTATTTGTCTCTCTTTCTTTGTGTGTGTGTGTCTATATATATATATATATAAAGAGAGAGGATGGTTCAAACGATAATGATGTAATTTTTACTAAGTATTACACTGCTTAATAATTTTATATTAAATGTGAATTTTCTAAATTTAATTGTTAGATTGAAAGTTTTTTACTCTTAGATCATATATACTTACTAAGTATTACATTGCTTAATAATTTTATATTAAATGTGAATTTTATAAATTTAATTGTTAGATTGAAAGTTTTTTACTCTTAGATCATATATACAAAATTTTATATTAATCCAAGATGATTTGATATTTCATTCTTATAAAAAAAAAATTGATGTGTTTTTTACTCTTAGATCATATATACTTACTAAGTATTACATTGCTTAATAATTTTATATTAAATGTGAATTTTATAAATTTAATTGTTAGATTGAAAGTTTTTTACTCTTAGATCATATATACAAAATTTTATATTAATCCAAGATGATTTGATATTTCATTCTTATAAAAAAAAAATTGATGTAAAATATACATTTCAAAATATAATAAAATATGAGACTTTGATTACCTTCAAGTTGTTTTTCAATTTAACAAAATTTGGTATAAACATATAAAGTGATATGAACTTTCAATCTAACGGTTTGATTTACAAAATTCACATTTAATATAAAATTATTGAATGGTATAATAATAAGTATTTTCTTTTGCCGTCTTAAAGAAACACTATTATCAACTTAAATAATCATTTTTAAAAAATAGTTTTATAAATATTTTTAAGATTTTAAAAAAACTGACCCATTAGTAAGTATCCATTTAAGTTGGTTAAGAGTATTATAAGAGTTTTAGTGTTTGTAATTCGTGTCTAACTTAATCCAAAAATTATTGAATATCCGATGTAATTTCTAATAGTAGTGATCTTAAACAAAAGGAAAAATATATGTTAAGGAATTAAAATTATAATTTATTACTCTTTATTAAACTATTTTATTTTCTTGAAAAGTATTTAATATAATTAGTTTTAAAAGTATTAAAAAGCTTATTATTAGTTTTTTATTCATTGACATGTACTCTAAAAACATAAGATCAAAAACTGTATATTTTTTTATTCAAATATTTCTGTCATTTTTTTAGGCCATTCTCTATCAAATTCTTAAATTCAAAGTCATGCGCAGTTTGTCAAAGTAATCAAATTAAACACTAAACGTCATACACCAATAATGATGGATTTGTGTTTTATTACATAATTATATAAATATAAATCTTCTTCTTTCTCTCTCAAAGTCTGAATTTAACTTTATAAAGGGCATAATTATTATATTTTTATCTGTTTTTCTTAAACAATGATGTAAGGTTTGAGAATTATACTTATTCCTTTGACTACTTAAGCTTAGACCATGAATGAAGACATAAAGATTTAATTAAGTATTCAAATGAACCTGAACCGATATGAAGTGTAGCCTCATTTCACGGTTTGGATTTAGATTGTCATACGTTTTGTTTCGGTCAAATCTTGATGAGATCCTAATTAGAGTATGTTGAATAGTTCTTAGGGTATCTTCACTAAATAGTTGTTAGAAGAGTTCCTTATTTACTTTTATTTTATTCAATATACCACTTATATATATGGAAGCACTTCACCGGGTATTTTACTCTATCAATGGTGATAGTGATTAAAATGAGTTTCTTATTCTTTTATATTAAAAATATAATGAAACAAGTTTCTTTTTCAAAACTCTCATTGTTTACCTTCCCAAATCTTTCTTTTCAAAATCCCTCATAAGAATCACTTAATATATAAAGACACAATAATTAACTATAAAGTAAGAAGTCTAAAACAACAAAAGGATACACATTTTTTAATGTTTCAACATTAAATAATGATTAAATTTTTTCTAATGTATTTTTCATACCGAAACATTTAACACCCATATATTGATTCTAAGATCATTGAATCTATCAAATAAGATTTCTCTCTAATTCTATCTCACCTAGCATCATTTTCAAACAAGTCAATTAATTGCTTTCGATTTTGATGCATAATAATAATGTACTCATTTATTTTATATATTATTTTTACATGTTCACATCATTTCTTATCTAATTTTTATTTTCTAATAATGTTATTTCAAATATATATATATATATATATATATAATCCATT